CTCCCGAATGCGAACCAGATGATAAGCATTACGGAGGTCCAACTTGGTGAAAACTTGGGCTCCCTGTAAGAGTTCAAAGGCTGAGGACATAAGAGGTAAGGGGTACCTGTTCTTAATGGTGATGTCATTCAGCCCTCGATAGTCAATACAGGGACGGAGGGAGCCGTCCTTCTTCTTGACGAAGAAGAACCCAGCTCCCGCTGGGGATGAGGAGGGGCGGATGAGGCCGGCTTTAAGGGATTCATTAATATACTTGTCCATGGCCTCTCTTTCAGGACGGGACAGAGAATACAAACGCCCCTTAGGCGGAGAAGTGCCTGGGAGGAGCTCAATGGCACAGTCGTAGGGTCGATGCGGAGGCAAGGAGGTGGCCCGGGACTTGCTGAAGATCAGGTGCAGGTCGTGGTACTCCGCCGGAACCCCGGTCAGATCCACCGACTCCACCTGTAACACAGAAGACACAGAAACAGGAAACGGGGCAGGACCAAGACAAGACTTAAGACATGATTGACTCCAAGACAAGACAGAATCTCCAGACCAATCCACGTGAGGACCATGCTTTACCAACCAAGGATGCCCTAAAATTATAGGTGCATTGGGTGAGTCTAAAAGATACAGCGTGATGACCTCACGGTGATTGCCGGATACAATAAGACTTACACTAGGGGTAGTGTGAGAGACGGTGGCAATAAGAGTACCATCAAGGGAATGGGCAGAAACAGATTCAGCGAGAGGGATGGTCGGGATTCCCCACTGGGCGGCCACAGAGCGGTCCATGAAATTCCCCTCTGCCCCAGAGTCAATGAGAGCAGAACAGGAACCAGAAATGCCATCATACTGGACCACAACAGGGAGGATGGTGCGAGATGAGGGGGAAGAGAAAGGAATAGCGCCCACCAGGATCCCTCTTCTCACTGATGAGCTTTGGCTTTTACTGGGCACTTCGCTGCAAAATGCCCCGGCTTGCCACAGTATAGGCACAGACCCTGAGCCAGGCGCTGCTGTTTCTCATGAGACGTGAGATGGAGACGTCCCACTTGCATGGGTTCATGATCCGATGGGGGTACCATGGTGGAAAGGGACCCGGGGTCCTCTCTTCTGGTTGAAGAGCGCAGAAACCTTCGATGGTCTCGACGGTGAAGACGGCCCTCTATGCGAAGCGCCAGGTTTGTGAGGGTGTCAAAATCTTGAGGTAGGTCGTGGGTCGCCAGTTCATCCTGGATGTCCTCATCCAGTCCAGCCCGGAACATGGCATGACAGGCTCCCTCGTTCCAATCACATGAGGCCGCCAACGTCTTGAACTTTATAGCGTACTGAGTGACAGACTGACCTTCCTGACGAAGACGAGCTAATTGATCTGCCGCCTCCTGGCCCCTGGCAGATCGGTCAAAGAGTCTGATCATTTCATGACGGAGACTACTAAAAGAGGAAACGCATGGTGCTCTGGCCTCCCAGACAGACGTTCCCCAGTCGCGAGCTCTGCCCGTGAGAAGGGTAAGTACGAAGGCCACTTTAGTCTCCTCCAAGGCATAGGTGCGTGGCTGGAGCGTGAAGACCACCGAGCACTGGGACAGGAATGCCCGGCATGAAGTAGGATCCCCATCATAGGTAGGGGGATTGTTGCAGCGTGGTTCAGGGGCCTGATGGGATGCCTGGGCCCCCTGCAGGGTCTCGAACTGAAGCTCGTGTAGACGGGCCGTGAGATCAGCCACCTGATTGGTGAGATACTCCACTTCTCTGGAGGTGCTGGTGAGTCTTGACTCGTGCTGACCCAATAGAGCTCCTTGCTGAGTTAAAGCCGACCTGACAGAATCTTGGCCTGCTGTGTCCATCGTTGGTCAGATCGTACTGTCAGAGGTCTGAGTGAGAGAGAAGATGGTTCAGACACAGATGCAGGTCTCAGCAAAGTTTATTGAAGCCCACAAACTCAAGGGGCAAAAAAAATAGTCAACAAAACAATCTTCAAAAAAGGAAACTAAAAATTCCTCCGTAATGGAGTTGGCAAAAAAGCCCAAAGTTCACAAAAACTCAAAACTGAGAAATAAAGTCTCCAAAAACGATTAAATAAAACTACTCCGGAGAGGTTAGATGAACAGTCTTCAAGAGGGTGCAATACCCTGATACCCGACAGGGGGCGATGAATCCGGCCGCCGCTGACTGGGACAGAATGGCCACGAGGAAGACTGAGGCTTGGAAGCCGGCGAGAGAGTGTTGAGGGCCGGCAGGATAGGGACGGAGAGTCAGATGGGCGGCAAAGCAAAAACAGACGGGAACAGGCTTGAAGGCAGACGGAGAAAAAACACTTTAGGAAAATTAACAGGATGACATCAGACACGACAAAACTCACAGGATATACAAGGAACAGGACTAGACCAGGAGATCGCCAGACATGCCGGAAGGGGAAAAACTGCGATCTGACACAGAACTACGATCAACAGAGGGATAAATAGGGGGAGAAATCAAGGAAACCAGGTGAGTGAAATTAGTTTGATAGACTAATGGAAAGTAATAGAGCAGATGGGTGGGGAAACGAGAGGTAAACAAAGCAGGGTATGAGTGATCAAAACAATACGAGTGAAAGGGAAAAAGTAACACAAACATCAAACCGGTGATCAGACCGAGATTGTGACAGTTTAACCAAATCTAGCACTGAACTCTGAGATTCTGGAAGCTATCCTTTGTCAAATGCTAGTTATATATTTTTTATAATTCTCTTGCTCATAATTAAAATTAAACTTTAAGCACTTCTCTCTGTGTTGTTTCCTTTGGAAGCCCCAAACAGAAACAGAACAAGCTCTGTGGAAATAGCAGCGTTTGGAGGGCATTTTAACTTTCTCTGCTACAATAAAGCATTACATTGCTTCTGACCACTCTTCTTTGGTGTCCGGGGTGTGGGCATGTGGTGAATGCACGTAACTTGAAGCGTTTGTGATCTCACTAGCCTGGATGTATTTTTTTTGCAGTCCCCAAACTTCGCTGTAGGCTTTGCTAAGCTAACTCTGTAAAAACCAGTGTCTCCCTTTGTATTGAACTTTGAGCTGTAGTCTTTGTTGAACTTTGTTGTTGTTGTCGCACGCGTTCTGTTCAGTGGTGTTGTCGTGCGCGTTCTGATCAGCGGTGTTGTTGCACGTGTACTGGTGGGGGGTGGGGAAGCGCGTGTACTCCTATGTGTGCACGTGCCTTAGAAGAAGAAAAGCCCCCGTGGCCACCTGTATGTATGTATGTATGTATATATATATATATACTGTATATATATATATATATATATATATATATATATATATATATATATATATATATAGGTTGATATATACAATAGCCTGCGGCCTCGTGCCAACGCACGCCTCCCACCAGTGCCGATATACAGCCATATCGCACTGCTACTCGTGTGATATTGCTCATATATATGGTGGTATAAATATTTAACATTTGATGGATGGACAGACAGACAGACAGACAGACAGATTGACAGATTGATCAAAAGATTAAACAATCAACACACTTTTTCATAGCCTTTTTTGCTTTTATTGAGAGTGCAGTAGAAGGTACTGTACATATTTGACTTTTATTCAGTATCGTGAAACTATTAATTACTTTTTGATTATGAACATAAATCCTTTCAGTGTATTTACTGTGAGAAAATAACATGCTGTATGTCAGATTTTCCAGAAATTACTAGTCGTGTCCGCCACCTCTCACAGTTTAATAGAGCTTTTTATTTTATTGCCCCCAATAAAGTTAGTGTACTTGTTTACTCAGGAAAAAGCAGTGCGTCTGTGAGTATCTTGGGATGCTTGAGATGAAATATGAGACATTTGGGTGTGAAAAATCAATGTGAAACAAGGTAAATGTATAAAAACAATGTTTTAGTTTGGGCAAATAAAATTAGGCTTGGAATGTGATTTTAGACTGAAATGGTATAAGGCAATTTAGAAATTTCTATGTAGTGGTAATGGCACAGTTAAAATAATGACATCATTTTCAAATAAAATAGCAAAAAATAATTAATTTACCACTAATTTACTACCAAGATGAATGTGACTGTAGTTTCCTGTAGAACTTTGAAGAAGAATTTTAGCTGAAATTGCAGCCCATTTTTAAAATGCAACTCTTATTTGGAAGTCAACAAACAAACAAACAAACAAACAAACAAACAAACAAACAAACAAACAAACAAACACAAAACATATACAAGCAAACAAAATTAATACCAGTGGCTTCTGACAATATACAATAATTAGCACACTTAGAAAGTGAAACTGACATCACTATTTTTTAAGAGTTCTATAGATATCACAATCTGTCAGAATTGTTAATTAATTTGTGCTTATTGATTAACATGTTATGAGGATGATTAAAGGGGACATACTATGCCTCTGTTTACAAGATGTAAAATTAGTCTCTGATGTCCCTAGAGTGTGTATGTGAAGATTCAGCTTAGAATAACCTACTAATAATGTGTTATAACTCTTTTAAAACTGCCTCTTTTAGGGTTTGATCCAAATTGTGCCGTTTTGGTGACTGTTGCTTTAAATTCAAATGAGATTGTGCTCTTTTCACTAGAGGGTGGAGCTACAAATGCCTATTTGTCAGCATAGTGGCAGATTCAAAAACAAGACTAACATCCTGTGTAATGAGGGCAAGATCATCACTAACCTGTGGGGATTTTCCCCTCTGATGACGTGCAAAGGGTGAATGTCAATCAAGTGTTTCTGCAGACTGTTTTTATAAAGTGTGATTATAAAAAAGAAAATTAAAAGATTTATTGTCATTAGAAGCTGGATATATTGACAGACTGTTGCCACACAACTATGTTTAAACCCCATGTAAAAGTGATTTTTACATAATAGATCCCCTGTTAAATTCTGTAAATAAAAATAAAGATATCCTAACCACTCTTATTAAGAGTATTATGATTATTTGTGATTATTTGTTTTCTCTATATAGTATACACACAAATTTTGTTGTTTATTTTGTATTTTTCTATTTTTCTATTTTAGGGTACAGGCCGTTACTCCATCTACATCGCCAACTATGCCAGCGGGACAGTAGGTCCACACGCTCTGATTGAAATGGATGAAAGTTCAAGTGACCCGTCCAAGGGAATTGTCGTGCTGTCCAATGTGGCCGAGCAGGCCGGAGTCAACAAGTTCACAGGTGTGTGTCTACGTTATTTACAAATGCTTGAGTGTGTGTATACCTTCAATGATGTCATGCAGTGTAAATAATAATGTTATTTTAATTAACATTTTCATTATTATGAGCTTAGAGGATGAATAGGATATAGAGTAGATTATTTATTGTTTTATGGAGAGGACAGATGAACAATGCGTGTCACGGTGGCGCAGAGGGTATCACGATCGCCTCATAGCAAGAAGGTCACTGGTTTAAACCACGGCCGGTTCAGTTGGCATTTCTGTGTGGTGTTTGCATGTTCTCCCCGTGTTCACGTGGGTTTCATTCATGTGCTCCAGTTTCTCCAACTAGTAGGGTAAATTGTCAGTAGTGTGTGTGAATGGGAGTGTATGGGTGTTTCCCAGTGATAGGTTGTGGCTGGAATGGCATCCGCTGCGTAAAACATATGCTGGATAAGTTGACGGTTCATTCCGCTGTTGCAACCCCAGAATAATAAAAGAATGAGAATGAACAATAATTGAATGAATGAGATGAACACAGACTGTGGGAGAATTTTCCCCTTCAACAGAATGCTTTTCCATACAAAGCAGATGATTGTTGGACTTTTTTATTTTACATACTTACAATGTTATACTATATTATAAACTATAATAATGCACAATTAAAAAAAGCACAAAAAAAAGCACAAAACTTTACATGATCGAATTATATCTTATTTTTATCTGTACAAGCACACGTTTTTGAGGATTTAAATATTTTAAAGATTCTTTTATTTTAAGAGCTGTTAAAAAAAAAATCAGTGACTTTGACAGAATTTAGGCACACATTTTTATAGTAAATTTGACGTTGCAGCATGATGAATATAAAAAAAAAGACAAAAATAATAATGCAAATGTTGGCTTAACCTGAAACTGATGCAAAGTGTGGGTCATGGGATGTCACATTTCCTGCCCGATCTCATGAGGAAACGGCTAATTCACCCCCCTAAACCCAATCTTTATTGTGGGATGAGCAAATCACACAAACATTTAGAAAGGAGATTAGAGCCAGAATTAGCCACTAAATCAAAATGTTATGAATTGCCAAGAGATTGTGTTGAAAATATTTCACACGGTTACTGTAAAAGTGTCCTTGATACCAATCATTATTTTATATACTTTTTATTTTATTTTACTTTTCAAGGTGGCACGGTGGCTCAGTAGTTAGCACTGTCGCCTCACTGTAAGAAGGTTGCTGGTTTAAATACCAGCTGGGCCAGTTGGAATTGCTGTGTGGAGTTTGCATGTTCTCCCCATGTTGGCATAGTTTCCCCCACAGTCCAAAAAAAAAAATGTTTAAAGAAAAGAAAAAGTGTGATCTCGGCAGAACCTCATAAATAAATTTTTGTAGCAAATTTGACACTGCAATCTGATCAGCGTAAGAAAAGCATAGGAAAAAAAAAAAAGACAAAAGTGTAAATGTTGTTCTAACCTGAAACTGATCTGGAGTATGATGCCATGGGTGCCAGAGTATGATGTCCTGCCCAATCTCACAAGAAAACCTACCTAAACATATTGTCAGAAAATGGCTAATTCTTACATATTCATATGATTTCAAATTCAAACCTGACTCCTAAATCTATTTTCATTGTGGGATGAGCAAATCACACTAAATTGTACAAAGGAGAATAAAAAAAGTTATGAATTTCCAAAAGATTGCGTTGAACATATTTTACAAGGATACTGTAAAAATGAGCTTGATACTGTTGTAAACTTCATTCATTCATTCATTTTCTTTTCGGCTCAGTCCATTTATTAATCTGGGGAATGAACCGCCAATTAATCCAGATTATGTTTTAAGCAGCGAAGGCTCTTCCAGCCTCAACAGAATCCCAGAATACATCCATACACACTCTTACATTCACACTAATACACTTCAGTCAATTCAGCTAATTCAATTCACCTATAGTGCATGTCATAGGATTGTGAGGGAAACTGGAGCACCCGGAGGAAACCAACGTGAACACGGGGAGAACATGAAAACTGCACAAAGAAATGCCAACTAACCCAGCCGGATCTCAAGCCAGTGACCTTCTTGCTGTGAGGCAACAGTTCTAACCACTGAGCTACCGGGCTGCTCTGTTGTAAATTTTAAAACTGAAATTCTATATTGAGATGTGTTGGTTGTTCTGCATTCAAACAGCATCTTCAAGAAGTCCACATGAGTCTGTAAGAGCCTACAAGAGTCTCTTACAGTTCACAAGAGTCTAATGAGTCTAATTTGGACAGAGCTGTCCTGTATGTTATATGTTTTAGGAGCATGTAAATGAGATAGATAGGTGAAAGAACCTGTCCAGCCACTGACCAGACACGTTTCACCTGCCCAAATCTAATCAACAAAAAGAGTGTTTTTGCCTTAATGAATTAACAAAGAAAAGTGCATGAAGACAATGGGTTAAATGTCTGCAACACTTGGCCTGCTATAGTTTTTGAATGAAATGTGACAATTTAAAATCAAAGAATTTAACTTTTCATTTGTATATATTATTGTTAATTTGGAACTATTACATATTTTTTATTTCCGCAATAACATTATATTATATTATATTATATTATATTATATTATATTATATTATATTATATTATATTATATTATATTATATTATATTATTATGTTATGTTATGTTATGTTATATTATATTATATTATGTTATGTTATGTTATGTTATGTTATATTATATTATATTATATTATATTATATTATATTATATTATATTATATTATATTATTATATTATATTAAATATATTGTATTATATTATATTATATTATATTATATTATATTATATTATATTATATTATATTATATTTTATTATATTATATTATATTATATTACATTACATTACATTACATTACATTACATTACATTACATTACATTATATTATATTATATTATATTATATTATATTATATTATATTATATTATATTATATTATATTATATTATATTATATTATTCATTTTCCTTTGGCTTAGTCCCTTTATTCATCAGGGGTCACCACAACAAAATGAATTGCCAATATCCCCCAAAACCATGTCTTCCGTTTTCTTTTCATTGATGCTTAAAAAATTTAGAGCCGTCCAGAATTTATGTCAGCTTTAGACTTTACAGACCTGAAACTTGCCTATGGCACTTATTCATTGTTGCTCTTAGTTGTGTAAATTGCTTCCTTGTCTCATTTGTAAGTCGCTTTGGATAAAAGCATCTGCTAAATGACTAAATGTAAATGTAAATATTATATTATATTATATTATATTATATTATATTATATTATATTATATTATATTATATTATATTATATTATATTATATTATATTATATTGTATTATATTATAATATATTATTATATTAAATTATTTTATGTTTTATTATTATATTATATTATATTATATTATATTATATTATATTATATTATATTATATTATATTATATTATATTATATTATATTAAATATATTGTATTATATTATATTATATTATATTATATTATATTATATTATATTATATTATATTATATTATATTATATTTTATTATATTATATTATATTATATTATATTACATTACATTACATTACATTACATTACATTATATTTTATTATATTATATTATATTATATTATATTATATTATATTATATTATATTATATTATATTATATTATATTATATTATATTATATTATATTATATTATATTATTCATTTTCCTTTGGCTTAGTCCCTTTATTCATCAGGGGTCACCACAACAAAATTAACAGCCAATATCCCCCAAAACCATGTCTTCCGTTTTCTTTTCATTGATGCTTAAAAAATTTAGAGCCGTCTAGAATTTATGTCAGCTAAACACTGGAGCAGTGATCCAACAGTCTCACTTTTTCTAATAGAGATTTAGATCTGGGTGTTGTCAGCATGCAGTTGTCAGAAGTTGATGAGTATAAGCTTTTAAACACGTGCGATTAAAAAGATCCCTGATCTACCAGCAAACAGTTCAATCCGATTCAATCTCACACAAGTACTTAAAAGGAACCAATACAACAATCAAATATTGCTCTAAATGTACCATGAAATAAAGCCTTAACGGTTGTTCATGGGAGAATGTTGTTGTTTAAAACTCAAATCTGCGGTTTATTTATAAAGATGGTGCATATTTTAAAATGTCCTTTGACAATTGAATTGCGGAGATGTGGCGTTCATCAATCATGTATCCGGTGAGGGCAGCGTTTTATCGGCTAAACATACTGACTTGTGCCCCTGGCTAATGTTGGATTTAATCAATATTTTCTCTTTTTGAAATTATTTAAAAATAATAGCTAAATTCTTATAACATAATTGATGAGATTTTATTACAGGCATTCTAAAGTCATTTCAAAGCAAAAAAATCTGGGAATTTATTTTATTAAATAAAGTGTACAGATTAATATTAATAAAATCTACAAGGGCACATAATGACTTTTTACAGTGCACTGATTGGCATAATCTGCCAAAATTATGTACAACATTCAGATTTCTTCATCACTGTTTAAAAAAAAAAACACACACTCATGGACAGATTTTTAGTTAATTTGACCACTGCTGAATATACTATACATGCAGCACTCTAGCGGCCGTGAGCTGTAGGATCTGGCCTATTTTTATTTATTTTTTTGCCTTGTGGCTGATTTACAGTAGAGCTCAGTGCTCATATCAGCGTTGAATCACTGAGTTATAGACAGTGTTTATCAGCTAAAGCAGCCAGTAATAGAGAGAACAGGGCTCTGGAAGGCAGCGCTGAATAAAGAGATGGAGGTTTTGGCGCACTCAGCTGTTTACTGCTCTGAAAGTCATGTGAAGGCACAAGGACAAGCGAGCCGTATTTCAACGCTGACTTACTCAATGAAGCAGCCGTTCCATTAATCACTATGAGGAGAGCAGGGTTTTGGACCAGCGTTCAGAGCGATTTCGGGAGGCACGACAGTCTCATAAGGGAAATGTCACTCTAGCAACTAAATGACGTTTTTGTGATGTTCTCGTCTCAGTTCAGCGGGTTCTGTCACAGCCTCTGCCAATTCGTATTATCACTTGTTTGAAAATGCCTTCAACCATAATAGTTTCATTTATTTTATTAACTGCTTTTGTTTTGTTTTGTTTTGTTTTGTTTTGTTTTGTTTTGTTTTGTTTTGTTTTGTTTTGTTTTGTTTTGTTTTGTTTTGTTTTGTTTTGTTTTGTTTTTTAGTTTTTGTTTTATTTTGTTTTTTATTTTATTTTAATTTATAATATTAATGCATTCAATTTATTAATTTTTTTATAAATTTTTTTCAATTGTATTTTATTAAATCATTTATTTTATTTTATTTATTTTATTTATTCCCATATTACCTTTTACAAAAACTTTTATTGTCTTTAGAATCACAATATTTTATTTTATTTTGCTTTATTTTGTTTATTTTATTTTATTTTGATTTATAATGTTATTGCATTAAATATAATCTAATTTTGTTCAATAGTATTTTATATATATTTTTTAATTTAATTAAATATAATTTTGTTTTACTTTTATTTTATTTTATTTAGCTTTATTTTGTTTTGTTTTATTTTATTTTGATTTATATTTTATATTTTATTTATAAAATATAATATTTTAAAGTATTAAAAATATTTTAAAATATTTTATTTTTATATTTCATTTATATTTTATTTTGATTTAATTATAAATTAATTAAATTTAATTTAATTTTATTCCCATATTACCTTTTACAAAAAACTTTTATTGCTTTTAGAATCACAATATTTTATTTTATTTTTTTGTTTTATTTAATTTTATTTTGATTTATAAAATTAATGCATTAAATTTAATCTAATTTTGTTTCATTGTATTTTATTATTATTTTTATTATTTATTTTATTTTATTAATGCATAACATTTAATCAAATTTTATTTAATTATATTGTAATACATTTTATTTTATTATACAAGCTTTTTATTTAATTCACATTTTTTTATTTAAATTGTCCACATACTATCTCAATAATATTCATACATTCTGTCATTTTATTTTATTTTAGTCAATTTCTTTAGAATTGCAATATTTTATTTTGTTTATAATATTAATATAATCCATCACAAGGTAAAAAGAAGCTCATCTTAAAATGCATTAGTAAAAAAGGATTACTTGTCCAGATACTATCAGTCTTTTTTGAATTTTTATTTTATTTGGACAAAGTGCAATAAATTACCCAGTGCATGTTACAAATTCCTTTCTGGACCTTCGTCAGTGTTCTCATGCAATTGAAACAGATTAATATTTGGCAGACGTGTGTTTAATCAGTCAGTAAGTCAGCAACAGACCATTTATGTGTTTAGCAATTATACATACAGTGCTCAGCATATAAAAGTCCACCCCTCACAAATCTATCTTTTAGATTCATATTTTAATAGGAAGCTATACAATATTATTTTGTGCAGATACATTACATTAGTCTGAAGCCTGATTAAGTTTGGTTACTAAAATATTAGTTTACTAAATATATTTGTTTAATATATCTGCTTTGTTTAAATGCATCAAAATACATAGCCTATATTCACTGAGAAATTGATAAAAAATATTCATTTTCAAAATGGGGTGCACTCAATTATGCTGAGCACTGTATTTATTTAATTTTTAAATATTATCATCACGGCGGCAAGGTGGTGCAGTAAATAGTGCTGTCACCTCACAGCAAGAAAGTTGCTGGTTCGAGCCTCGGCTGGGTCAGTTGGTGTTTCTGCATGGAGTTTGCAATGCATGTTCTCTCCACATTTGCGTGGGTTTCCTCTGGGTGCTCCGGTTTCCCTCACAAGTCCAAAGACATCCGGTACAGGTGAATTGGGTAAAATTAGTAGTAGTAGAAGTAGTGTGTGTGTGTGTGTGTGTGTGTGTGTGTGTGTGTGTGTGTGTGTGTGTGTGTGTGTGTGTGTGTGTGTGTGTGTGTGTGTGTGTGTGTGTGTGTGTGTGAATAAGTGTATGAGTGTTCCCCAGTGTTGGGTTACAGCTGGAAGGGCATCCACTGCATAAAACTTATACTGGATAAGTTGGCGGTTCATTTTGCTGTGGTGACCCCAGATTAATGAAGGGACTAAGCCGAAAAGAAAATGAATGAATGAATATTTTCATCGCAATATTAAATTAAATACATTTATTTTATAATATTAATGCATTCAATTTATCAAATTGTATTTAACTATTTTAATCACACCTGTATATCATATTTTACACACATTTAATTATTTTTATTATGCTTATTTTATTTATATTATACAAGCATTTTATTTTATTCAAATTCCACAGTTTTGTTTACATTATCCACATACCATCTCAATACCATCAAAATGACAAATAAGGAATATTTTCCACCCCAATGTTTTATTTTTATTCATAACATCCTAATATTTTATATGCTTGAATCTTTACTGTCTATAACAATAAAAAAGTTATGTTAATTCAGTAAAAATGTATTCTAAATAATGCAGCTGAAAGGGCATCCACTGCATAAAAACATATCTAATGAGTAATTGTTGGTTCATTTCACTGTGGCGACGTATGATAAATCAAGGACTAAACCAGCTGAGTGAGTATTGTAAATAAATAAATACATTTTGTCAAGTCAAATAGTTGCTCTCTCTCTCACAGTTCTGCTCAAATAGCATTGGAAAGCATAAGAAAAGGAGCATTGAAAAACCACGTCACACAAATCTTTTAGACATAAAGCCACTGTTTTCTTTAAAGCCCTTCGAAACACTGTGCATTGTGAAAAGTGCAATACAAATAAAGATGACTTGCTGCTGTAATTCAACTAGAGGTCAAAGCTGCAGAATAGTGATTGTCTGGGCAAGATGTGTTGAAGGAAAGCTGGTTAAATGCACATGTTCACACTCCCTGTAATGTGATTATGGGCAGCCGGAGTCTGTGTCAGCAAAAGCAGCAGAGAGCTGCTGCTGGGAAATGAGCTGGAAACCCTCTAACGATTTCTGTGCTGCGTTTGGTGATGATGGCCATCTCTGCTGTGTGTTAAAGGGGGACGGGGGGTCGTGGTCGGCCCGATCCTCAGTCAGACCCTGCCCGATATCTTCTGCGACAACGAGTACAGTCCGAACTTCTTGTTTCGCAACAATGGAGACGGGACGTTCACTGATGTGGCGGCGCAAGTGGGTGAGAAAGAGCTGTCTGTTTACCTGATTTAGTTTGAAAAGATTAAAGGGGTAGTTCATGAAATGAAAGTTCTGTCATAATTTACGCACCTTTGACTTGTTTCGAACATGTTTGAGTTATTTGCCTTGATGAACACCAATAAGAAGTACTGAATAATTTTTGGAATAATTTTGGATTACATAACTGTAATCATTGACTTTTTCTATGATTTCTTGCAATGGGGCATAGACTCATAGTTCTGTAAGTGCAAAACTTCTTCTACACTGTGCCCATATTTTGAGTAAGTGTTTGCCAACTGGGTTTAAAGAATATTTAGATAAAGGTTCAGATGTCAAAGAAATTGAGCAAAGTAGAGCATGAAGAGAGATTGAATGACTTGATGCGTTTTCTAAGGATAACCAATTAGGGTCACTGTCGTTTGATGAATTTGACAGAAAAACATTGCCTGAATATTAGCTGCTCAATAATAACACTGAATGTTAGGTAATGACAATCCTCTGTGGTCACGGTGTCCATGTAAAATATTTTTTTTCCATTCCATATAAAAGATGTTATTAATTTATCTAAAAGTAAGAAAAAAGATTTAGTTAAAAAAAAGGGTATGCACCGAAAAATATATAAACATCTAGCTAATATATTCATTTTTATAGTTTTTATTCTACCTCCCAGTGACATGGAGTTATACATATATTTTTGTGTGTGTTGTTGTAGGAGTGGATGACCCGATGCAGCATGGCCGTGGAGTGGCGTTAGCAGATTTTAACCGGGATGGGAAGACAGACATTGTGTATGGAAATTGGAACGGGCCACATCGTCTGTTTCTGCAGCTCAGCAACAATCGCAAAAAAAGGTTTAAGGTGCAGATTTTTTTAAAAATCATGTTTTTGTTTGTTTTATCGCTGTAATGAAGTACATGAAAAGCCCATTTACACCAAAGCTAATAACTTTAAGGATAGGGATACAGTTCTGAAAATCATTTTAATTTTGCAATCCTGTCTGCCTACTTATACACATACACATATAACATTTACCATTTTATAAACAAAAAGTGCACACACCATTAAAGAGAATCTTATTAGACATACAGTGAAAGTGTTATTATTTTCTAAGTGCTTTTTAAAGGAAAATATTTTGACATATTTTTAAACACACTACACTACTGTATGTTAAAATGTAACACTAATTGTCTTTGTCATGATGAATTTATGTACATATTTGTAGCCAAAGAATCCACATTGGTGCCTCAAAGAGGCATATTAGTACCCAAATGTACCTAAAAAGTACCTTTGAGGTACAATTATGAACCCTTCAGGTACAAATTTGTACCTTTTGAAAAGGTACTACTCCAGTGACAGCTTCTGTACCTTTATTTCTAAGAGTGTTGGCTTAACTCGGTTAATTAAGCAAGTTGAGTTAATTAGGCAAGTTCTTGGACGACAGTAGTTTGTTCTGTAGCCGGCTAATAATATTGACCTTAATTAAATAAAATTATTAAAAAATATAAATCATGTCAGATTAATATCTGGATTTTGACATCAATTTGATGTCTAACACTGGTGTAAAAAACACAAATCAGGACTAATCTTGACTGTTTTTTTTACGCTTTCATAATAATAAAACTCTATATATTATAATAGCGTATGTCGTTTAGAGGGGCATCTAAAGGGCATCAATGTGTGGATTTCAAATAGACGTAAAGGTTTTAACAACAAATCAATAAATTAGCATTTATAACATGTTGTCTTGACATCATGCTTGATTCACAAAGTGTGAATTTTTATGAAGGGGTACAGTGTTTATGTTCAAATTGCCTTCTTGCCTTCACTGTAAAAATTGTGCTGCCTTTATTTGAATCAAACGAACTTTTCTAGACATCTCAACACAACATCAGTCAAACTGACTAAAAATATTAAGTTAAACTTTGTATAAGTAAAAATATTTAGTTGAAACCTGATTAACTGATTATAATGAGTTAAAGTAACATAACAACATTTAAAATAAATAAACCTATTTTTAACCAAACCAATAGAGGACTTTCCCCAGAAAAAAATATATGTAGGAAATACTGTGAAAATGTCTACTCAGTTAACCATCACTTGGGAGATACAGTATTTGAAAAAATAAGTAAAATATCACAGGAGGGCTAATAATTTTGTCTTCAAATGTGTGTTTAACTGGAGAGCAGGCAAGCTGTCATCATAATTGCGTCTTTAACAGATTGTTCAATCGAGTAGGTACACGCGTTCTGTTACTGTTTAACATCTTGTCCAAATGAATATCCTGCACATTTATTTGATTTATATTTAATTTCCTACCTTATTGGAGATGAAGTAGCATGTTAATCTGTCATTTGTGGGTCTTTCAAGCAGATACATTTCCTTGTGTGTTTGCATAATGATGCATTTAAAGTTAACGACCAAACAGATCTTAATGAAAGTTCACAATATTCTGGCAGATAATGAAATAATTTTAAATAACTGAAATCTAGTGGAGGTGTCACGATAGCCCAGTGGGTAGCAAGATCACCTCACAGCAAGAAGGTCGCTGGTTCAAGCCTCGGCTGGGTCAGTTGGCATTTCTGTGTGGAGTTTGCATGTTCTTCCTGTGTTCGCGTTGATTTCCAACAGGTGCTCCTGTTTCCAAAAACATCCGCTATAGGTGAATTAGGTAAGCAAAATTGTCTGCATGTGTGTGAATGAGTGTGTATGGGTGTTTCCCAGTGATGGGTTGCAGCTGGAAGGGGATCCACTGCTTAAAACAGATGCTTGATAAGTTGGCGGTTCATTCCACTGTGGAGACCTCTGATTAATAAAGGGAAATGAATAAATGAATGAATGAATGAAATCATGTGTTCCCATCGTGTGTTCCCTGAGAGCAAACCCATGACTTCTGCACTACTATAACATACTCGGCAAGTAATTGTGTTTAATAGATGGCTAAAACATGTCTAAACATATGGCCTGCATAAAACTAGGCTAAATTTGGGCTGTCAGTGAAAATCTAACAGACATTTAAGAATAGCCCAAAACTAGACTAGCAATCAAATAAACAGATTAGACAGACTTCACATCCCATTGTGCACCTTTGTCAGATGAGTATCTAGAGGTCAAAATGGCATCAAACTGACATCTAACATTAACATAACTGACATAAAAATCACAAAACAATTACAAGTCAAATCTTCAGAAATGTTTGACATTTTCAGATAATTACATTTTTTAAAAAATATTATAATACTTTTTTTGTGTTGCAATTGGTCAAATGATTGACTTTTTTAAACAAATTATTCAAGGAACATTTTTTTACAGTCATGTGTTTCCACATGCTGGTTTAAAAATGTACATTTGGGGAAATGATCATTGAACACCACCATTTTTCTGCAAAAAAAAAAAAAAAACATATTTCTTTAAAGTTATGTTTAGTAAAATGAAATGACACAGAGAAAATCTAATTAAAAACATGAAGTAAGAAAGGTGTAGAAAGGAAGTGAAAGCCCAGACAGCAGCTGAAATTTCTCAGTAGTTCTTCAGCAAACATTTTCTCTTTGTCATTGTAAATTAATATTAGCTGCTTCAATCCAACATCTACATTATCAGGATGATGAAGATGAAACCAGGGTGGACATTTCAGCAAGACAATGATCCAAAATACAGCCAAGAAAACTATCAAATGCTTTCAAAGAAAGAAAATAAAGCTGTAGAATTGCCCAGCCTATCACCTGACTTGAATCCAATATAAAAACAAAATAAAGCTCAGGTTTGATAGATGAGACCCATAGAACCATCAAGATTTTTATACTCTGTTGTAGTTTGTGAAAAAATCACACCTGAGCAAATTATTTAACATCTTTAAGCTGCCATCACCAAAATAGCCTTTTATATTAGTATTAAATACATTTCAGTAGTTCAGTACTTTCTCATCATGTCATTTCATTATTATTACACATAACAGTAACTCATCTTTCAGATGATTATTTTTTAAAAATATTTCTATTGTTTGGGTTTTAACTAAATCTGGTTCAATTCCATGTTAACAGCTTCTTTAGAAATATTGCTCCCAGGGGAAAAAAAAAAAAAAAACTTTGATATGTTCATTACGTATTTCCCGCACTGTAATATTAATTTGAAGCATAATTACTTTCAAAAGTTCAAAAACATGGAAAATGTGCAGCTTTCCTCTTCTTTACAGTCTATTGGCTACTGTCTTCATGACAACATAAAAGTTTAGCAAAGGATATATGGATTTACAGTACAGATCTGCAGCAGCTCAAACAACAGAGCTCTGGGTTTTTCTGTACAGCTATATTCAGCTGTTCCTCCATCTTGGCTCCAGCATTTCATTGTTGTTACATAAAGCTGAGTCTTACATTCTGGCTTTCTGAAAAGTTGACATGTTTTTTTACGTACTTAATGCGTAATTATCAGCATATCGTTCATCTCCATATTGAGAAGTCTGATTGCCATGCATCTGGTAAAAAGATCAGTTCATAAAAAATGAAAATTATGTTGTTATTAACTCACCATCCTGTCATTCAATTCCCCTGAGACCTTCATTGATCTTTAAACCACAAAATAATATGTTAGATACAATCAGAGAGCTCTCTCGTCCTCCATCGACAGAAACAGTCACAAGACGTTTAGAAAACTCAAGAAAAGGAACCAAAAACATTATCAAATGTGACTTCGGTGGTTCAGCTAGAATCATACAAAGCTCCAAGAACACATTTGTGCATGAAAAAGAAAAACTATAAACTGCTCTCATAACTTTGTCTATGTCTTTTGCATCAGATCACGGTGTACATTTATAATGGGCAATACTATGTGTGTTGCGCTGCTGACAGTTGCGAGAATACAGTATATAGGGGAAATTGAAGAGTTCAGATGCAAAAATCTCTAAGTGCCATGTGAAATTTCCCTCGAAAATTAGCATTTTTCTTAGCCTCCTATATTTATGTTCAGTTTTTTCACTTTAAAGGCAATGAAAATAACCTATTATTTGGAGTAGGAGTACAATTACTGAAACTATGCACAACAGCCTTAGAAAAATGCAAATTTTAGATATTAGTAATTTTAGACAGTACTTATATATATATTCTCTCCAGTATTAGAGTCAGCAGTGCAACACGCCAAATTAAAATGTTTCTAGCATTTATTCACCTCAAGTTGTTCCAAACCTGTATACAGTACATTCCTGGTAACACTTTAGTATCAATTCTAACTAGCTTGGCAGTTTATTAGTATTTATAAAGCACATTATTTCTTTATTCTGGATGGCCATTTTACATCTCCTATCCCATGCCTAAACTTAACGTACTAAATACGACGTTTGTTGAGGCAGTCAAAGTTGTGTGTTAATAGTAAGAACCATTGGTTACACTTTATTTTAAAGTGTCCTTGTCGCAGTCTAAGTATTTACTTATCTACTGAGTTATAATAATTACTACATGCACTTACTATATGGTTAGTGTTAAAATATGGGTTAGGTTTATGGTTTAATGCATGTAATTATGCATAATTAATTGTAATTACTAAAGTAAGTACATGAAACATTTAACAAGGACGTGCTAAAATAAAGTGTTACCAAACCGGTGAAAATATAACCTATCTTTTTAAAGGTGATCGATTTGACTGTAGGTAAAAGAATTTCAATAATATTGTCTTCAGTTGCCCTGCAAGTGTTAGTATTACCTTCAGGAAATGCTAATCTAGTTTTGCTTTTATTATGTGAATGGCAGGGTTCATTTTTTTCTGTTTTTGTTATGCAGAATGAAATGTGATCCTTACATTCTGAGCTGTATAATTAAATCCTTCCGACAGAAGATGGAAGAGGATAAAATAATAATATCGGCCGTCTGATTAGAGTATTCAATTACTCTCTAATCATTATTCTATTGTTTGCACAGGGCCCTGGCCTTCGTTTCAGCTGGTAAAGCTGTAATTAGTCCCAGTAAGATCAAGAACCTTATTTTCCTGGGATTCACAGAGGATTTTGTAATCTGATGATAGCTAGGAGAAAAGACTCTGTGATAAATGCCCTTTTTTTGCATACATTACTGGAAGCAGAAGGATTTTTTAAATTTTTTTTTTTGGAAAAAACTTGTCATTTTTTATTTTATTTATTTATTTACTGATGTATAAACCTAATAAACCCATAACATTACGGATGGTTTTGTGGTTCTAGAACAAATTTATACTTTTCAGAAATTATTAATTAAATGTATATAAAATGACAAAAGGATTTAATGCTGACTTTATTCTGCCAAACCTAAGGGTTTTGCGATCTCTTCTGAAGCTCTAGATGAGACATTTGTGAGATTTAAGGATTAGAGATCTAGAGGACACATTCTGGAGACGGCAAAGACCTATACATCTTGTAAAAATGGTAAAATAGGATCCCATTAAATAACAATGAGCAGAAATTCATCAGCATCTCAGAAGTTTTATTTTAATAATTAAATATTAAAATAATATATAAAATACTATATATGAAGTCAGAATTATTAGCCCCTTAGATATTTTTCTTTTTTAAATATTTCCCAAATGATGTTTAGCAGAGCAAGGAAATTTTCACAGTATGTCTGATAATATTTTTTCTTCTGGAGAAAGTCATATTTGTTTTATTTAAGCTAGAATAAAAGCAGTTTTTAATTTTTTCAAAAACATTTTAAGGTCAAAATTATTAGCTTCTTAAGCTATATATTTTTCGATAGTCTACAGAACAAACCATCGTTATACAATAACTTGCCTAATTACCCTAACCTGCCTAGTTAACCTGATTAACCTAGTTAATAGAATGTATAGAAGTGTCTTGAAAAATATCTAGTAAAGTATTATTCACTGTCATCATGGCAAAGATAAAACAAATCAGTTTTTAAGAAATGAGTTATTAAAACTAATATAATTAGAAATGTGTTGAAAAGAATTTTCTTGTATATATTTTTATAGTAAATATATTATTTATTATATAATGCTGAATATCACAAACCTCTTCTGTTTTAAAAATATTTTAAACTTGTAAAACTCATTCTTGAGGTGCAGCTGATCCCAAAGAGCTGAACAGATCTTTTAATCCCAACTGCACTCCTACGTCATGCTGCAGTGGGTCTCAAAATCACAGAGATTTGGGCCCCTTTTTAGCGTCAGGAAATTAAAAAAAAAGAGACTTGTTGTGTTTATATCACTCCAATATGACAGTGGACACACTACACCTACACACAGTTCTGCTCAAACAGCTTCCAAAACTTGATTTTGCATCATAGGTGCCCTTTAAAGAGAAACACTTGTGTTATGAGACCAATCAAATCACTGCTAATATTAAACTAAGGGTTTAATTAGGCTATGTATGCAAGCCTTAAACTAAAATCATTATAATGAACCAGATGTTATACAGTCAGTGTCTATATTATTTTCCAGCAATAGTTACTTATGAGCCTCTGCCGCTCTGTATCAGCAGCATGTGTCAGGGGATTGTGTTTGACTGGACTGCTGTTATGGATGGGTCAGCGCTGTGTGTGTAAGTCTTGGCTTTAGTTTGATCCCAGTGTTAGTGGCAGTGATTGGCTTCTTCAGCACAGAGATAAATGTCAGCGGGAGGCTGTTTTATGGGGGTCAATTGCTGGGTTAATGTCTCAAGGAAGAGCTTACAGAAGGATTTGTGCATTGGCGTAGGGTACTGTGACCTTTGCCATGTATAATTGCATTGTGATTAAGATTCTCAGTTATTCTATGTGTTAATTAAACTTTGGCTGAACATGCACAGCAGTGTAAGTGCAAGTGCATGTGTTAGTCATAAAATTGGTGAGTAAATTTATCTTTGAACTGGGTCTTTGTGGGAGATCTATCTATCTATCTATCTATCTATCTATCTATCTATCTATCTATCTATCTATCTATCTATCTATCTATCTATCTATCTATCTATCTATCTATCTATCTATCTATCTATCTATCTATCTATCTATCTATCTATCTATCTATCTATCTATCTATCTATCTATCTATCTATCTATCTATCTATCTATCTATCTATCTATCTATCTATCTATCTATCTATCTATCTATCTATCTATCTATCTATCTATCTATCTATCTATCTATCTATCTATCTATCTATCTATCTATCTATCTATCTATCTATCTATCTATCTATCTATCTATCTATCTATCTATCTATCTATCTATCTATCTAGCTATCTATCTAGCTATCTATCTATCTAGCTAGCTAGCTAGAAATCTGCCATAAAGTTCAGCTATTTATCTTTCTCTCTATAAATTTGTCTTTCTATCTATCTTCTGCTCATTTATACCTCATCTCCTGGGTCCAGTCCAGAGATGGCCATCACCTCTCCTTCAACCAGACAGCAGAAGGTCACTTCATGGGCTTTCACCTGCTGGTTTTATGAGGCCTATAATTAAAATTGGGGTTAATACTTGAGAGAGTGCCGGCGTGCTCAATAACTCTTCCATGACTCGTTGCTGCACTACTGAAGCGTGGCGATTGCAGTTACTTTTCTCTGCTTTCACTCCCTGAAGTTTTTAGACTGTGATTTACCTGCAGCTCAGATCTTTATGTCATTGATATCACACATCCAACTCACCAAATCTTAAAGAAAGATGCTCTACTGTCAACGAAAAAGAAAAACACGCACACTTTCTAGGAGCTTTGTGAGACTGTATGTAGAGACAAATACTGTTATCCTTTAAAAGGCAGTCTTTTGTGTAATGATTTGTGTAAACAATCTGGTGTTTGTCTGATATATTTGTGATATTTGCTGATATTTTCTCTGCACCAGGATATTGCCACTCAGAAGTTTTCCATGCCATCTCCTGTTCGCACTGTTATCGCAGCCGACTTCGACAATGACAATGAACTGGAGGTTTTCTTCAACAACATCGCCTACAGAGGACCATCAGCCAACAGACTCTTCAGGTACAGTGTGTACTAAAACACTATACTGATATGCATAGATTATTCTGAGTTCTTTTTAAATATATATTTGTTGAAAATACCACTGTATCAGTTTTTTAGTATGTTTAACCCTTGTGTGTGTTTCATAAACTTCGGGGTGATTGTGAGTCTTATTTGGCAAATGGAAATACTTTTGGTGATGACATCTTATTTTGACACATATTTGGGAAAATGCTATGAAATTTGAAAACCTTCAACACTACACTACCTGACAAAAGTCTTGCTTTTTCAAGTTTTAGGAACAACAAACAATAACTTGACCCTCTAGTAGATCATTTGGTTTCAGATGTGGCTCATGTGAAAGTCAAAGGCCTCTAGATTACGCTTATTTTAGCAAAATAAAATATGATCATGCCTTGATTTTTAATTATTTACTTAAGACAGTAAGGTCCGACTTTGCTTAGACAAAATCTTGTCACTGAACAGAAATAATGTACAGTATAGAATATAAAGTCATGGTGCAGTGGAGAAAGAATGAATATTGTGCATGACTCCCATGAGCTCGGACGACTGCATCCATACATCTCTGCGGTGACTCAAATCACTTATTAATAAAGTCATCTGGAATGGCAAAGAAAGCGTTCCTGCAGGACTGCCAGAGTTCATCAAGATTCCTTCTTCATCTTACGCCAGACATGCTCAATAATGTTCATGTCTGGTGACTGGGCTGGCCAATCCTGGAGCATTTTGACCCTCTTTGCTTTCTGGATCTTGTATCTATCTATCTATCTATCTATCTATCTATCTATCTATCTATCTATCTATCTATCTATCTATCTATCTATCTATCTATCTATCTATCTATCTATCTATCTATCTATCTATCTATCTATCTATCTATCTATCTATCTATCTATCTATCTATCTGTCTGTCTGTCTGTCTGTCTGTCTGTCTGTCTGTCTGTCTGTCTGTCTGTCTGTCTGTCTGTCTGTCTGTCTGTCTGTAGATCGATAGATAGATAGATCTGTCTGTCTATCTTTCTATCTGTCTGTCTGTCTGTCGTCTGGTGGTGGGGTGTTCTGGCCTGTCATGCTGCCTGGGCTTACCGCCAAATCCCTAGATTAAAGAGACACTTTTCATAATTATTTTTTTAACTTATATTGTAAATGTTAAAGAAATAACCCGGTTGCATAATGATAATGCCATATTGTGGTTGTCTGTCTGTCTGTCTGTCTGTCTGTCTATCTATCTATATATCTATCCAATATATACAATTGCTACAGATTATATTGTTGTTTAAACCTCCCCAACATGTATTGCTTGTACTGTAATGATTTGTCATGCATTCTATACATTTGCCTACTTGATTAAAATGATCTCACAAAGCATGGCATTATCATTATGTAACCGGGTTATTTCTTTAACATTTACATTGTAAGTTAGGAAATAATTATGGAAAGTGTCTCTCTATTTTGGGCATTTGGTGGTAAGCCCAGGCAGCACGACAGGCCAGAACACCCCACCGCCAGACCACAAACACAACCCCGTCCAACCACAACTCCACCTGATGGGAAATTCCCTCTACATCCGACCTCACCCGTTACACGATTGCTTTCTAACGAGAAGACTGGATGAGCCATTAAACAGAACATTGTTTCAAATTTATTTTTAATCCCATGCCCAAACAACCCAGACCTCAGTTCTCAGAAAGCAAAGATTTAAGCTTCTTGTATGAAGAAACCTCTTAGTTAGCATTATTAGTCATCAAAACACAAAGTATGAACTGCTAGCTCCAGAAATGTTTTCACTGAATCAATATTGCAGGGATTTCATGAGCCTGTAAATGAATATCTCCTTTGAGACCTGTTGTATAACATGCAGCTGACAAGGTACATTTGTCTTTGACTGTTCCTTTGTGTGGAGCTCTCTCAAGCCAAAAGGCAAACTGAGTAAGTAATTAATCTTTACCATGGCAGAGTTTCTCGGAGAGAGCATGGAGATCCACAAATTGAGGAGCTGAACGTCGGGGAGGCCGCAGAGCCAGAGGGACGGGGAACCGGTATGAAGTGTTTGGCCATTTCATTCCATCCGAATTTAGGATGGTTTATTTTGTAAAGCAATTCTTTGAGTTTTACACATGGTGGGTTTAAGATTTCCCCCTTAAAATAACTTGACTTTGACCCAAAGGAGAAATTCTGAGGTGCATGTTCTGTCAGAAAGTTTTAAAGACATTTTTAATGTATTCAGCATATAACCACACTGCATTTGTCGTGTAAACAGTAATCCGTCCTTGTGCATTTTAGACGAGATCAAAAAAGCTCACACTCACAGTCGTCCACTGTGCTAAAACAACTTATTCTTTAGGTAATTAAAAAAACTCTCCTCAGACTCCAAGAGTCAGCAGTGTAGTGCAGTTTCTCATTTTATGTCATGGATCATAACACTTTATACTTATAGTCCACTTGGACACGGCGAGGAACCATGTCAAACTGAAGAAACTGTTTATCACAGTAAGCACAGCTTAGTAGTTTAACATTAATTGGTTATACTTAGGCCCACACGGAATATTTACCCAAGGAAATCTGCAGATTATTTAGCTCATCATTGATTAGTTTCTTATGTAAACACAGTTGAAGTCAGAATTATTAGCCCCCCTGAATTGTTAGCCCCGTTTATGTTTTCCTCCCAATTTCTGTTTAATGGAGAGCAGATTTTTTCAACATGTTTCTAAACATAATAGTTTTAATAACTCATTGCTAATAACTGATTTATTTTATCTTTGCAATGATGACAGTAAATAATATTTTAATAGATATTTTTCAAGACACTTCTATACAGCTTAAAGTGACATTTAAAGGCTTAACAAGGTTAATTAGGTTAAAGGCAGGATAGGTTAATTAGGCAAGTTACTGTATAATGATGGTTTGTTCTGTAGATTATAAAAAATGCTTAAAGAGGCTAATAACTTTGACCTTAAAATGTTTTTTTTTTTAAATAAAAAACTGCTTTTATTCTAGACTTTCTCTAGAAGAAATATTTGCTCTTTTAAACATAATTTGGAAAATATATAAAAAAAAATTCAAAGGAGGCCTAATAATCCTGACTTCAATTGTATGTGTAAATATATTCATTATTTTTACAATTAATTTAGTAATATTATCATAAAAATATTATGCAATGACAGTTTTTAAAGTCCTTTGTTTACCATATGACATTTACTGTTGAAATCAGAATTATTAAACCCCCTTTGAATTTTTTTTCTTTTTTTAAATATTTAAAAAAATAATGTTTAACAGAGCAAGGAAACTTTCACAGTGTGACTAATAATATTTTTCTTCTGGAGAAAGTCTTAATTGTTTTAATTCAGCTAGAATTAAAGCATTTTTTTTTTTTACATTTTAAGGTCAAAATTATAAGCCCTTTTCAGCTATATATATTTTTCTATAGTCTACAGAACAAACCATCGTTATACAATCCCTTGCCCAATTACCGTATCCTGCCTAGTTAACCTAATTAACCTTAATATATACACACACACACACAACATATGTAGCATAAACATATAAACAAGAGATGACAAATACTCACATTGTTACAAAGCCACTGTCATGACTATAGGTTAGAAATTAAGGTGAGGATTTACAAACGTAAACTGCTAAATTCCCAATTCTTAAGATTAGCCCCCATGTGGTTTCAATTTTTTTTTCTGTGAAGTTTTAAGACGTATTTGTTCCATTTGAATGACATAAAGCAACTCGTTCAACCATCTTTGATAACAGGGAGCCTTTCCCTTTGGAAATTTTCAATTAAGTACAAACAAGAAGATCTAATTGTATTTAAATTGCATTGTAAAACATGTATAAAAATACAAAGTTATTTTGTATGTATTTAGTTTTTAGATATTATACTCAAAATTATTCTACAGAAATCTGCAGATGTAGTACAAAATTCTATGCAAAAATGGCGAAAAAAATGTTTGCAGATTTTGTCTGGCCCTGGTTGTACTCCACTGACAAAAATGCAGGTGGGAGTTTACTTTTTGTTTTTATAGAGAAAAACGTGTTTGATAATTTAGATATTGCTAAAATAAAAGATCTTAACATCTACTCGAAATGCTTGAAAAAATTTTAGAAAAAAAACATATTGTGATTTCTACATACACATTAATTGCTTTTAATGAAATAAGTAATTACAAAGCAGCCTATTAGACAAATTTCTGAAGGATATCACGTAACACTGAAAACTAGATTAATAGTGCTGGAAATTCAGGTTAACATACATTACTAAGTAATGTAATGACCTCCAAAGGTCCTGGAAATCCCCGGTCTGCCACTAGATGGCATTATAAATCCAGGTTTGCTGCGATTTACTGGCATTTATCATCGAGTTCTGTCACATCAGCACTAACAGATTCATCATATTATATGAAAGCCAATGTATTCTTGTAGAACTGGTTTAAGTTAAATGTGTTTGTATTAATGATAAGTGTTTCCAGCTGTCTGAGCAGATATGTGTTTTAGGAGCGGCTGTGACTGACTTTGATGGAGATGGACTGCTGGATCTTCTGGTCACACATGGCGAAAGTGCAGCACAACCCATCTCTGTGTATCGAGTCACTCAGGTGAGAATGTGCGTCAGACACTTTTAAATTTGGGAGTTAAGTTCGATTATTTACTTTATTTCATATGTTTTGTATTTATTTCATATGTACACCATCTTTATTTTTATTTCACGGCAAAAAGATATACCTTATTTTTTTAAGAGCGCGGCCATTTGTAAGCTAACTTGAATAAACTTGACGAGACTTCCGGTTTCATTTGTGTACCCGTTATTATTGCAAAAGCTACTTTATATTGTGACTTGATATTTGTTGTTACATTATTAAAATGTTTTATGTTTTTTTTTAAATTAGTTTACCTTTTATATTGTGTTAGCTATTAGGGGAATCAAAAGTAAGCACTTGCAAAGTAAACAAACTGTTGGCTTATGTTTAGCTACAAGGTTTGAAGTAGTTTTATAAGTTGAAGTTTAGAGTTTTGAGTTTTTTAATTTCTCAGTAAAAAGTGAATTTCTGACTTGGAGAGACTTGTTTAAAATATCAAATGTGTGTTTTTCTGATCTAGAGTCATTCTATCTTGTTAAACTTGAAACATTGTTGTTTGCCATTTAACATATATTGTTCTGAATATTTAAATTTTTTAGCATCTGGAAAATTGCTGTTTAATATTCATCATATCATTATTGATTTTTCATTCCAGGGCTCATCTAATAAATGGCTTCGTGTAATTCCACGCACACAGTTTGGGGCTTTTGCCCGTGGAGCAAAGGTGATTGTCTACACCAAGCGAAATGGCCCTCACACACGCATTATAGATGGAGGATCAGGATACCTGTGCGAGATGGAGCCAGTAGCTCACTTTGGATTTGGTATGAATTAATTTTTTTACTGTCTCTCCTTAAAACATCTTTGTAAGAAATTCATATTAGGAAAAGAACAGCTATGAAATTGACCAAGTCTGTACAATATCTATTTCATAAGTGCATTCACCATCTCGGAAATGTTAAGGCTCGTCGAGTAGCCGGAAAACAAGTATTCGCTCTGCTAACTCATTACAAAGAAACAATTATGATGTAACTCCAGGTCATGTTCAGTGGGGGGCTTTGGGTCTCAGTAATATAATCCTCTGTGTGGAGGTCATTTCCTTCAATATCTTCATAGACTGGAAGCCCTTAAAGAAGACTGCAGGTGCAGCAGCCGGTGGCATCGGACCGGGACCTTTTCCCCATGGCTTGGCCATATTACAGGTGCTCGAAGGCACATGGCTTCATTTGGGAGCTTTTGGATGGATTTGTGTCAGGAATCGGTTGCCAGCTGGAACTTGAGTTGTTCTGAATGTGCTGTGAAAAACAAAATGATAGCCATCAATGGTCACATGATCACCCTGAGGGCTTGTAAATATGTGCATACGTGCTTGACCACCACTCATCAATGTTTCTATCAGTAAGAGTGTTTGGAAAACGGATGTAAAATGTCAACCCTAGAAGTCTGATTGAATTGATTTTTTGAAATGTCAACCTTTTCTCACCATGTGATACTGTTTGGGATTAGTTTTACTTATACTGTGGCACTTTTTGTCAGATAATTATTTATTACTTTGTGTAGTAATGTGTGCAGTTGGCCAAAACATTTTCCACATGCATAATTTGAAGCTTACCTTTATGAAATAAAACCCTCACAGATGCTAAACTATAACTTTCAATAACTACTGGTAAAATGTCATGCTTTTTGCCTCAAGAGGCACCTGTGCCAGTCAGGCTTTGCCAGGAGCCCCTGTGGATCTGTTTACCTAAGAAATGTTTCTTTAATTAAGGACTGGGAAGGCGATCAGCCTCTCTCCTGCTTGACTAAAGGCTATAATGGAAGGAAAATCTAGCGGCCACCCTGTCCTTTCTAATTTCTGCTCCTTTGAACTTCTGTCTTCCTCCTCCACCACATTCATTTCCAATGGATGATTTCTCCATTCGTGATCACTATGACAGTCTCGCTTAACGGCTATGTTAATTACCATCCCGATGTCTGTGAGAAAGTGTTTCTGACAATCAGATTGAAGTCACTAAATGGATGCTGCTGTAAAGCTTCTTAAATGAAGTGCTTTCCAACCACCGTGCCATTTATATGGCTCCTTATTTCAGCCACTGAACAACAGACAGATTTCATCGGTCTGGCATACGAGAACCTCATTGCTTTAATGCCTCACTGACTGCTATGCCAGAAACTCTCTGGCCCATGAACCCCACACACCGGCAGTCATGAGAAACCGGTTCTGCCGACATCAAATGAGACGTGTTCAAGCCTCGCTGCTCACGACGCTGCCCGCAGCTGAGACTGAACACATTCTTGTGCATTTGTTCAAGCACTTTGTGTGCCAAACCAGAGCCTATATTCCAACCTGGCTTTTGCCTAGAAACATCTTGGGAGGGCCCTTTTTCTCCACAATGGTATTTTTCCATGGAGAGCTGTACATTAAGAAAAGAAATCATTCATTATGTCTTTTAAGCCTGAGGGGAAGCTATAAAGACAAAGTGTTGGTGAAGTACTGAAAGCACTGCTGCTTTGCCACCCTGACAGGGAAAGATGTGGCCACCAGTGTAGAAGTCTTCTGGCCAGATGGACGCTCTGTGGCCAGGCCTCTGGAACCCAGTGATATGAACAAAGTGATGGAGATCCATTACCCAGAGAATGAGGAAGAGGCAACCCCAGCGCTGGAGATCGAGGTTAATACTCTCTCATATTCATAGGACTTCTTAGGATTAGGAATTGTTGTACTCACCCAGTGCTGTTTCTTTTCACAGTGTGGGCCAGGGTTTGAGCTCAATGAAAATGGCCGTTGCACTGGTAAGTTTTTTAAGCCTTTGACCTCCCATCGCCATAAATCCCACAATGTAAAAGGTAGAAGAGATAGTGGACATATCAAGAGTAATGCCAACTACTAAAGAAATAAATTGACATTAGTTAGACATATTAGTTTACTAATATGCAATTGTTTACTGAGGATCAGGTGATACTGAAGACTGACATATTGGGAGCTGATAAACTGTACAGTAGTTTGCAAAGTTTTTGGGCCACTAGCAGCTCATCACCATAACTATAACTTTATTTACTGTAATTTCAGGCTGGATATAGCCTTCAGAAAGCACACTCAGTCATAAATAATTAATAAGCAGGCCCTTTTCATAGGATAAGAAAACTGCTATGAATAATAAAGAGTAATCGACGCGTCATCACTCCACCTGCAGTTTTGCTCTAGGACACCAATTTTGATCCTGCTCCAAAAATCATTTTAAACCCTGAAGATGAAATTAGTTGCAAAAGCTCAATTTTCCAGTTTTCCAGCTAACAGGTGCTAACATTGTCTTAACTGATGCTCAACACACAAATCTGTCTGCTTCTCCATTACTGCTCCTGAAGTATGTTTTGTGACTAAAATATAGGCAAATTTATAATTACACCTGACAAAAGTGACAGTCAGAGATGTATTTAAAGTTGGATTTTGTGGGTATAATGTATATGAAAAACACAGGCCGATAAAGTTTACTAGTGTTCTTTTACTCAAGAATAATCACATTAAGAGCTGAGAGATATGACACAGTGCATAAATGTGCATCAAAATCTCAGCAATGTTTGTTACCTCATTTCAAACACAAGCTGCAAATTTTATAATATACACATATAATTCAACTAATTAAAGAAAGGCATAATCACAGGAAGGTGAGTTTATGCAGAGAGTAAAGCAACTTTTGGAACAGAAGCTGTCAGTAATTATAAGTTTGTGTTAATAGGAGTGACTTAATACACCATCTTCCATACTCTAATTCATTGAAATATTGAAACATTCACTCATCGAATAAATGTGGCTGACACTCTTAAAATGTTGCAGTGTATTCATGGCTATTTGTGAGATGTTTGTTCCACTCCTCTTCATTCCCCAGACCAAGACGAGTGCACACAGTTCCCATCCGTCTGTCCCTCAGAGCGACCCGTCTGCACCAACACCTATGGGAGCTTCAAGTGTCGTGCAAACAAGAGGTGTAACCAGGGATATGAGCCTAATGACGAAGGGACTGCATGTGTAGGTGAGTTGAGACTGAAGTCAGGACATAAGGGTGGATTGATACAAGAAGACACCCCTGGGAAATGCTGTTTTCTCACATTTCACATGAGTAGAGTTTGACTTTTGAGCTTTGAGGCATTGTTAGTAGTTAGTTGAACATGCAAAAAGATACCAACTGTTATTTATTTTCCTTCATATCTGAAACCGTGTTTAGATTTTCAAAGACACAAACAAGGTTTTTAATATAAAATCAAAACATTTTTCATTTAAATTTTCAATAAAATGTGATTTTTAAATTAGCAGCTTAAATATAATTAAGAACTGTCTAATATTTTTCTTATCATTTGACCCAATTTTCTAAAGCTATAACACTGGAAATTATTTTTAGAATTAATTTTTGTATTCAAAGGTGCAGTATTTAAGTTTGACACCCTGTGGTTGAACTAGGTATTGCACTCCTGGATCAAAACAGTCGCTCCTCCTCTGACAGTTCCACGCAAGGGCAGGTTGCCAGTTTGATGACACCAACAGGCTTGTGCCTGACTATCGAGTCCAAAGGCTGATTTGAACCATTTTCTAACTAAAAGCAACGACACCTGAAATTTCTATTTTAGAAACAGCTTCTAGTTCTCACAGGTGAACAACAGGATAAACTATGATCACCTCAGGTATGCCTTTTATGCTTTAGTCAGTGTTAAATGCCAATAATGTGAGTTTGAATGCCATTTTACATGACATTATTGCCATATACTGAAAGCAGCAGCAGGTAGTTCACCTCAGATCTTCAAAATAAAATAAACAGTTTGAAATTGAACTGTGACTCAGTGTAAGCTAACACATATCAGTGATTTAGCATGTACATTTAAGAATCTTAAAGAGATTTAATATGTATTAATTATATTGTAAACCTTAGCATTTCGCTGGAGGTGCAGTAAGTCCACATATTCTGTGCTTCTGAATGGCTGTATTTACATCTCTATCATTTTGTTTCTAATGCAAACAACTAAATAGCTTATCACTGCAAATCTTGTCAGGTTACAGGTAGCGTGTTGTTAGGTTACAATGTAACCTGCTTACCTAATGTTTACATTTGTAATATTTATATTATTTGCTGATTAATAACCACCTCATGTGGAACTGTGAATCTGCGTATCATTTTGTAGTCTGCTACAGTCCACCAGAGGTCACATTTCAGTCGTGGGCGCATACTTTAAAATCCTTAATGAATGAATGAATGAATCAAATATGCAGTTTTCCACCAAGGCAACCCGGGGTGCTGAAATATGATTGGCTAAACTGGCATTGGGCAGGTTAAAAAGAACCAAAACAAAGATACCAGTTCCGGCACGTAACGCACATTTTCAAAGCAGAATATCTGACTTCAGCATTGTTTTTCAGTTACAATGTTCACTTTGCATGTTTCTTACATATCTGCAAACATATTATGGTATTTTTAGACTTTAGAAGAGTCAGAAACTTGCAAACAGCACCTTTAAAAAATGCCATGTACTGTTCTTTTGTTAAAGAACTAGAACAGAAGTATGTCACAGTTTTATTTGGTCTTTTGTCCAATTTTATTTGGATTGCTGTTTTCGTAATGCCTAGTTCACACTAAAGGATTTTAAGCCTGATTTGAGCCCGATTTGGAAGTTAACGAGCTCGCCGACAGATCGGGCTGTGATCGGGAAGAAATCTGCGGGTGCACGGCGCTCGCCGCTCTTTATGTGTGAACTACTGAACAACGCATCAACGAGGCTCACTGACGAGTCGCCGACACCTCGCAGACGGAAATCCAACATTCAGCATGCTAAATATTCCAGAGCAGTCGGCCGACTCAACCCCACGTGTGGTCGGATGTAGTAACGAGCTGCCGCCAATGAGAGAGCAGATCAGCATGAGCTGAATGCCTGTGTGTCAGGAGCTCAGCAGAAACATCTGTGATTGGTCAGAATGGGCATCAAAGCACTGGCTTCATTCTGCGTTAGCACAGACATGAGAGGAGGATATATTAACAGTGGAACTAGAATTCTGTAACTATTAGAATTACCATACTGCTCATTCTGACCGTTCTCATATAAAACGCCATACTGTCACAACATATTTACATTCAAAGCTATTATTGAGATATTAAAATTAAGCTTTGAATGTTTGGCATCATATTTAATGACACTATTACCCTAAAAATATAATATTTTTTGGTAATACAGCCTATAAATATGTAGTTAAGATACTAAAACACTTAAAGGTCTTAGCTTTCATTTTCACTTTCAAACAGGAGCTATTTAACAGCATAGAATATGCTGTTTTGAAAGATATCTGAAGTAAATTGATGTTTTTGCCATCAGAAAGTTTTGTTTATGTTAGCAGGAAGTTGCCAGGCAAGAAAATGCACACATATTTAAAGTCACAGCGAAAAGTATCAGACATGCATGCAGTCATTTTGACCAATATGGTAATTTAAGGCAGAAATGCTCAGTTCTTTACTGTTTTGTAATAAAAAAAATAACAATGTCAGAAAGAAATACACTGATAGTTAGAAAACGGCAGGGTGTTATAAATATGTTAGTTTTATTTCAAAGAGTTATAAAATTACAAAAATTAAAAACTCTCTGTGTATCTATCCACTGGAACCTTGCAAATGAGTGATTAATCCGCTGATAAATCAGCTGATTAGACGATGTTTTTAAATGCTTTCTCCAAAGCTTGAAACACTGACAGTGATGTCATCAGCACACAAGCAGCCAATAGTGTTCAGCTTTTTCTGACGACTCCTCCCTCAAATTTTCATTGGCTGTGGTTTGGTAGCTTGAATGAGCTGATGGGGAATGAGTTGTTGTCAGATCATGTAGTGTGTGACCCCCCTCTTGTGGATCGTTCACGGAGGGTTGCATAGTGTGAACACCTCAGAGATTAAAAGACACAAAGTCAAGTCATGTAGTGTGAACAGCACAGGGATCTGCTGATGTTTAAAATCCTGTAGTGTGAACTAGGCTTAAGGTGTAATTTCATCTTAATTGGTTTACCATGGCCATGAGATATCAAATAATGTAGAAAACTGTGTTCTAGCAGTATTTAATATTGAAAGTTTTTTCTCACTTCCAAGACCATGCATTTCCTTTGCCAAATGTAATTTTTAGTTTCATTTCACCAAGTTTATTTCTCCAACATAGACTTTTGTAGATTTAAGTACAATAGAAGCACGTCAAGGTTTCTTTTAAATCTTTGTCATTGCTTTGGCAAGCTGTGTTTAGTTAGTTACATTATTTACTGTGGTCTTGACTATGACATTTTGGTGATGTCTTAATCCTTTGTTCGGATTTGTCAATATACTGAAGTCATCAAGTCAGTGATTGTATTATGAGTTGCTTCCCAGACATTCTTATGTAAACTCTTTGTATGACTCTGTATTCTTGGACTTTTATTGCAGTGATTTAATATGTATCTGGCTTTTTATATGTTGGCTTTAAACCTATCTGATGGCCTATTTTATTATTCAAACAATAATGTGGAAAGACTTTTTCCATGACCATATTCCAGGATGATGATGCCAAGCTCAAATAGTGAGAAATGTCTTCATTTTCACACATAAATTAGCCACCAATTTATCTGAACAGCACTGAATGTCTTTGGATTGTGCTAGAGTAGACTTGATTGAGTGTTTCGCCTCAGGTTCAGAGACAGACCATCTTTACTGTTACCATGTGTTTATTCATCATGGTTTTGTTTCAGCAACCATATGCAATGTCAGATTTAATTTTCATCAAGTGTTGCATAAATTCTTGATCAGATCTTGTATTGACAATTGGAACAGCCCCACCATCTAACCCTGAGGAGAACCACTGTCTATCTTGCACATCCCATAGTAAATAGTGTAGTTTAGGTAAATTAGGGATCAATTAATGTGTCAAAATTTGAGCCCAAAGGACCTTGGCCTCGTCATCCTAAAATATAGCCATGACATAAATACATTTTTATCTTCTAAGATGGTTGTTGTAAAAAAATAAAAGCTGTGTTTTGCATCTGTTAGGGTTAAAGGAATTGTTGCCAAATGTACAGGAAGAAAAGAAAGACTTTAATCATTGCAATCATAGACTCTTAGGTATTAACTTTAACTTTTAATCCAAACAGCTACCTTTTTAGTCTGGGTAGTGTATCTTTATTTTCATTTTTTACAACAAATTTGAAGTTAGTGACTGCACTGAAAATTTCACAGCAGATTGATTACAAAGTATAAGTGACGTCACATTGAAATCAACAAAATTATCATAAGCAGAAAGTTTAAAGAAGTATTTTCCCCCAAACAATCTACTGGATCACAAAAGCAGTATAGGTTATTAAGTATTATGTGTTATCTGAAAGCTACGTAATTAATATTTCCACTGATGTATGTTTTGTTAGGATAATATCTGGAATCTGACAAATATTAAAATCTCTTAAAGTTGCCCAAATTAAGTTCTTAGCAAGGTATATTACTAAGCAAAAAAAGAGTTTTAATATATTTGTCGTAGGAATTTGGGCTGCACAATATTGGGAAAATCAAACATTTACATTTTTTGTTATTCTGCGATTTGAATATAACGTTAACATGTGACTTGAATATCTCTATTTGGAAATAAAATATAATTTTAGACTGCTTGGGATAATTCTGAAGAAAAATGCATGAGCATTAAATGTAATAATGCATCTACAAGCGCAGATCAATGCAAAAAAAAAAAAATGTTTTTAGAATCTAACAGTAACTTACAAATGGTCCAATTTCTTATGCCAGGATGCTATTAAAATCATTATACAGTCACAGGCCTAAAACAAACAAACACAAAAAACATGAAAATGATACATATACGACAGACTCCTTCCATACCCTGCGATGTGACTATTGTGATTGATCACATTGTGATAACGATGCTGAAACTATATATTGTGTAGCCCTAGTAGGAATGTTGCATGATTTTTAGTTAATATTCTGATGATTTTTGTCATTTAAAAAGAGATCATTTTGTCCCATACAATGTTCATTTGGCTAATGCCAAAGGTTTCCAATCAACACACAGTAACTAAGTGTCCTAACAAGACGCAACGCGACAAGATTTCAGCGACAAGCAATTTGGCTTGACTTGACATGACATACAGTAAGATTTAAATACCAGTGTCTAGTAAAGGCTTTTACTCTATACAAATTAAAACTCTTTAACATTATTAATAGGCTACTAAGTGACTGATTTTGTTTTATTTGATGCCCTTATTTCTCTCAAACTGTCTGCTAGTTATTTCATTTTCAAGATCTGAGGTGAATTATCTGCTGCTGCTTTCAGCAGTATGGCAATACATGTCATGTAAAATGGTATTTCAACTCAAAATGGTAGCATCTGACGCTGAATAAAGCACATAATCTGTACCTAAAGAGATCATTGTTATAGTAGTGTATGCTGTTGTTCTGTTGCAGCTCTGCGGAAATAGTAAGCATTTTTAAATTATAAATTGTCTAAAATGTGAAATTGTCATGGCGTCACATCACGCTGTTGTTAGGACCAGGTGTAACACTGGTTTTGTTGTCCTTGGTCACAAATAATGGACTATATAATACTATATAATCAAGTTGGAAAAATCTGTGTTTACAGTGCAGTTTGCTTCTTTTCCCTTCCTTATTTTTCTGCAGCTCAGGTGGCTTATTTTGGAGGAAACAGATCCTCAGCCTCCAAACTCTTGGTTTCCTGTCTTTGGCCTCTTGTACTAACTTTCCTCGCTGTCTTTACTGCTTGCTTGGGGCCATGAAGGGCAGCTCTTCCCCTGTCCAGACATCTCTGCCACCCTGCTTGCTCTCCGGTTTTCTGCTTTCCTTTCTTTTTCGCACTGAGGTGTTTGGGAGTCAGCTGTAAAATGAACTCTCCATGGACCTGTCGCTCCTGCAATGTTGTCACTAACAGACCTGTATAAATAATGCTTCGCTATCCAGTTGGGAACCACAAAAGATCACTGTTTTTAGGACTGAGTAACTATTCCCACTCCATTTAGACTGAGGAAAACTCACTGACCTTCATATTCATTGACTATGATGCGGGAGAAGATTGTAATTGTTATGATCTTTGTAAAAGGCCATGTCCCAGCGTGTTGCAGGCTCATAAGCAGAGTTCTTACGCATTCAGTCTCATATCAGCAGCAGAATGTTAGCAGGTTTTTTAAGGGGAGCATATGCCCAGCCATCTGTTTCATGCAAGGTTACATTCCTTGTGCTGTGAATAATAAATTCACTAGAGATTTGTACTATACACTTTTGACCCTCACCACTACTCACGACTGCCCTTTGGGATTGGTGCATGCTTTTTGGCATGGATGAGTGTTGCAAAGCACAGTTTCATTTAGAAAATTGTTATTCGGATTTACACACTTAGGACTTCAAAGCAGTTTAGCTGCATAACACATAGAACTAGATCTTATGATTAGGGAAGACTCTTATTTTGACTTAATCATGCTGTTATGGACCAATTCAGGTTTGCGTTAGTACACTAACACCTTGTTTCACAGACAAGCTTAAGCATAGTCCCAGACTATAGGTAAGTCTGAACAGATTGATGTTAAATATCAATGAGAATGTTTACATGGCTACCAATAATCTGATTTTAATATAATTAAGACAATAGTCTGATTAAGAGTCTACCACGTTAATCCAGTCATAATTGAACTAAGCAGAAATCGGATTAAGACATGCAGAGTATGCCGATTGTAGTTGCATTATTGAAGTGTTGAACAAACTATTACCGTCGTGTAGGATTTTCGTCACATTTTTTGACAGGATATTCCATACATACCGGCTGTTCTGCACCTACCAAATCAGTTTTTTTTTTTTCATTCGGCATGTAGTAGTAGTATCTAAATTCTGTTAAAACAACACTTTCAACAGTCATTTTTATACGTGCATCCAATATCTCATTTGTCATGCGGGGCATGCAGTTAAAGTTTACACATAAAAAAATTAAAACACCCGAAATCACATGAAACTCCAGAGGAAATGTGGATAGTGTGGTGACGCAATGACGTTAATCGATCTGTGTGTTTTAACATGTAAAACGGAATCATGAAAGAAACATGATCAAAAGCAACTCATGTAAACACCTTCATCATATTACTGTCTTATTCTGATTAAGACAAATAATTTGATTTCTGATGTCCATGTAAACGTAGTCAATGTCTTTTTCCCCCTCAATTTTTTCTTTCCCCTCTTTATGTTCCGAGGCACATATACTGTAAAAAAAAAATTACTTGCATGTCCTAATTCATCTACGTCCCGATTCTGATTCTGAGCACTGTCTGTGAAGGCCTAAAATGTGTATATATACAGTGCTCAACATAAATGAGTACACCCCGTTTTGAAAATTAATATTTTTATCCATTTCTCTGTGAATATAGGTCTTATTTTGGTGCCTTTAAGCAAAACAAATTTATTGAATTGATGTTTTTATTAAAATAATATTATAGTCACTGAACATCTATAGAAATAGAAAGATAATACACTTTAAATTCATGCGAAATATTGAAAAAAAATACAAACTACATTTTTTTTGTTTCTCTTGAATTTTGCTCTTTTAAAAAAAAATTTTTTTAAAGGTACCACCCCAGTGACAGCATGCGTACCTTTATTTCTGAGAGTGTATATTACAAATATAATATTGTAAAGCTTCCTGTTAAAATAAAATATTAATTTAAATTAGAGATTTGTGAGGGCTGTACTCATATATGTTGAGTATAATATATGTTGAAATATAATATACTCATATATATATATATATATATATATATATATATATATATATATATATATATATATATATATATATATATATATATATACTGAAAAAAAATCAAAGAACTTTTGGAATAAACAGGCTCTACTGAGGTTCAATTGAAGGTTCTTAATAGAGCCATACAGTAGGTGCCAATAAGTAATCTATAATTTTTGGAGTGTACAATAGAAATATGTCAAGGTTTTACTTGCATTATGAGTGTTGATTTGGTAGTTTATGTATTATTTAATTATTTACTTGAGCACAACAAAAATACTTTACACTTTCAAGTTGGCCCAAATTTACTACCAGCTCGCATCATTTATTTTATAGCTAACCTTTAACCTGTGAATCATGCAACACTGTTTAGTATGGTTCATAGTATTAAGTTGACTGGCTACTTATCCCTTTAACTGCTGCTCTACCAAATGGTTGACAATGTTTTTACTGTTTTAAATAATGACTGTTAAAGTCATTTAAATTATGGCTTACACACACAGCAATCTTGGTTTACAAACATAATCCTGTTGCACTACTACACTTGATTTAGATTTTATTGTAAAAAGAAAACAAAACAAAGCACGTTAAATGAGAATCTGACATATTTTATGGCATACTTCAAAAAAGGTGATTTAGTATTCAAAATATATTTTTCATAGTATATATTAAGCCCGGTACTTTTACTATAAACCGACATATCAACCATTTGGTAGAGGTTGGTATTTTAGAAATTATGGGATGTTTTAAAAAAAAATGCACTGAGTGTGTTAACTAGCGACATTAGGAGTAAAGAAATGCAATCCAAAGATTTTTTTTTAATGGTGGGGTAGTTAAAGGGTTATTTAGCCCCATTTTTTACATGTATTGTTATTAAATTGCACTGATTTTGATGGTTTGTGATCTAAATAGCCTTGTCCTGATATACCGCATTGGTCATTCTAGAAATATGCTGCTGCATGTATGTTCTTTAATTTTGCGCATTGGCTGTTGATTAGTTCCTGAAGTTTTCACTCTGTGCTTTTATCTGGCTGATAATATTTAAAACTTCTATACAGTAATTTTCTGTAAAGTGATATTTTCTACTAAAGTAAAAAAAAAGTCCATTGGCAATGTAAAATAAAAAGAAGAAAAAAAAACCACCCACCTACAAATTTTGTGCAGCGTTACAAGTCAAATAAAAACTTCAGTGGGGGAAAATAAGAGGCTATTGAAACCAAAAGTTCATATAATCAGGAAATTTATAATTTACCATCATGTTTATTTTTAATTAATTAATTTTTTTTACCTGCGAGTCTGTAACGAAAAAAAGTAAAAAAACAAACAAAAAAACTTCCAACAACCACCATATTTTAATCAATTAAAAGTGTAGTCCATAAAATCTTCTTAATTCATTTGACGTGAAAAAAATCTCTTGATAGCATAATAAACCGACAACTTATCCAGCATATATTTTACGCAGCGGATGCCCTTCCAGCTGCAATCCATTACTGGGAAACACCCATACACTCTCATTCAAACTCATACACTACGGACAATTTAGCTTACCCAAATCACCTATACCACTAGTCTTTGGACTGTGTAGGAAACCGGAGCACCTGGAGGAAACCCACACGAACACGGGAAGAACATGCAAACTCCACACCGAAACGCCAACTGATCCAGTCGAGGCTGGAACCGGTGATCTTCTTGCTGTGAGGTGACAGCGCTACCTACTGCACCGCCCAATAGCATATGTAATTACATATTTTTGTTTGTAAAGTTTTGTGAACATGTTTAATTAATTTTCTTTCGGCTTAGTCCCTTTATTTATCAGGGATAGCCACAGCGGAATGAACCACCAATTTATCCAGCATATGCTTTACAAAGTGGATGCCCTTCCAGCTGCAACCCAGTACTGGGAAACATCCAAAACACACTCATTCACACACATACACTACGGCCAATTTCGTTTTTTCAATTCACCTATTGCGCATGTCTTTGGACTTGTGGGGAAAGCAGAACATCCGGAAGAAACCCACGTGAACACAGGGAGAACATGCAAACTCCATACAGAAATGCCAACTGACCCAGACGGGAATCGAACCAGCGACCTTCTTGCTGAGAGGCGACAGTGCTAACCACTGAGCCACCGTGTCGCCTTGGGAACATTTTTATACCATTATTCATGGTGATGGCTTTTGAGTTTCCCTGTATTGTAAAATGGACTTGGTAATCATTACATGATGTTGATTTATTCATTTTTACACTTATTTTGCTATGAATTTATTTAACATCACCTTTTCAACCCTAATTATCGGAAATAGTTTGCTATGCAGATTATTCACCAAAGTTTAATGAACCTTGTGTGGCTCATTTAAAATGCATCACTAGCTTGGTTTGCGTAGTCATTAGCTTTTGATATACATATTGTTATTTTTTACAGAACGCCCTTGACTAACAACACTGTATAAGCAGTCATTTCAATTTTAATGCATCTGTGCTGCTACACAGTTTCAAGTCCACATACATTTCATTTTTGTTTAAAAACTCGTGTGTTGTCATAACTGGACCGAACAGTCGCTCGGACACTATTCGATATGAATCCTCTATGGTCTGTGAAGGAGGTGTTAAATAACTTCTGAACCGACTCATGATGTGTGCATTGGCTAAAGACCCTTCAGTCTCTCGGGAGGAGTAGATTCTCTTTATTTTAATACACTCTTCTAATTTTCCATGTCATGACTCAAGCGAAACGTGAAGAGAAAGTGTGCCGACTGCTTCGGGAAAAATGTCAGATCTCACAAGAGCTGACAGATGCCACCTATGATTATTTTTAACGGCACATGTAGTTAAAGAGCACATGAAATCAGGCTTACAGTGCCTCCATGTCATGGCTACAGGAAAAGGCGCAGTGTAGATTCTCCATAAATGCATGTCATGTGAAAGCGAGATGTGAAACTATGATCTGTCCTTATGTTTTATGGCGTAGCAATTTCTATTGAAAACACCAATACGAGACTGTCCAGTAAAGCTGTTTAAGCATGATTTTTTAGAAAAATGCTGGTAATGGTAAGAAGCTTGGTGGGCAAATCAGCATGCAGAACACAAAATACACTGATGTTTTCAACAGGAATGGCAAAGCTGGTCAGATTATATGATGAACTGCACCCAATGTTGATGAGGATGATGGTTTATACAGGAAAAAAGCACAAAAGTGTTGAAAATATGACAATTTAAAACAGGTTTGATTAAGTCTTTCAGTTTTTGAATGAAAAGTTGCTCCTATTTTGCAGAATTCACTATAATTTTGGTTTCATGTGTAAAATAAAGTGAAGATCTTTTTCTGTATCGGTTTATGCCTTGTTTTTTTCCACTTCAAAGTATAAATGAAATTATTATGTCATGTTGTGATATACTATTATAGCTCATTGTTTTTTTTTATTTTATTTGAAGCAGAAATATGCCAGTATATAAAGCAAAAAAGCAACACCTTATAACTTTACATTTATTGAACAATAATCAGACCCCCTAGTTTTTCACGATATTTTTTTGTGATTTTTCGCAATAAAAGAGACTGATTTTGTGATAAATTATTTTATTATAAATTTATATATATATATATATATATATATATATATATATATATATATATATATATATATATATATATATATATATATATATATATATATATATATATATATATATATATATATATATAAATAAATATATATATATTTATATAAAGCATATATATATAGTATATAAAGCAAAAAAGCAGCACCTTATAACTTTACATTTATTGAACAATAATCAGACCCCCTAGTTTTTCACGATATTTTTTTGTGATTTTTCGCAATAAAAGAGACTGATTTTGTGATAAATTATTTTATTATAAATTTATATATATATATATATATATATAAATATATATATATATATATATATATAAATATATATATATATATATAAATATATAAATAAATAAATATATATATATAAATAAATATATATATATATATATAAAGCATATATATATAGTATATAAAGCAAAAAAGCAGCACCTTATAACTTTACATTTATTGAACAATAATCAGACCCCCTAGTTTTTCACGATATTTTTTTGTGATTTTTCGCAATAAAAGAGACTGATTTTGTGATAAATTATTTTATTATAAATTTATATATATATATATATAAATTTATATATATATATATATAAATTTATATATATATAAATTTAATTTATAAGTGTATCTAGAG